TAATTACAATACTAACAGTTGATGAAAAATTATGTGCCCAACCAGTAGTATTAAAAATAAGGTAAAAAATCATAAATCCAGCAATTGTACTTACGATCCTACTGTGATCTTACATGATCCTATACGATCCTACAACGATTTGGATCGTTTTGACAATTTAGGATCGTAGATGTCTAGACTTTGGAATAATGGGTTCTACATCTTTAAAATGAAAGATGAAGAAGCCCTTGAAAGGGTCTTAGGTGGTGGTCCTTGCCTTAGTAGCAGAAATCGTTACAGTAGGTGACGATTTTCTGGAAGAAATGCGATTTTGCATTCTCAAATTAGAATCATGTAAGAAACGCGATTCTTAAGAGAGAAAATCACGTTTCGGTATGAGATGAAACGTCTGTGAAATCAAACAACTCCAGATGCAAGAAGGTGAAGAAGAACCTGAACATGTTGAAGCTCAAGAGGGTGAAGTTGAAGCCCTGGATCGAGGTATGTCATCCTCCTTTCCTTCATTTTTCTTCTTCTTTCATCACTTCGAAGGTCCTCTCTCTCTCTCTCTCTCTCTCTCTCTCTCTATGCGCTTTTCGTCTCTCTGTCACAGTTCATCTCTCTCGCTGGCAGATCATCTCTTTGTCTCTCTCCTTCTCGCTAGCAGATCGTCTCTCTCTCTCTCGCAGTTCGTCTCTCTGTTTTTCGTCGTCTCCTCCTCTCTGTTTTTCGTCTCTTGCGGATAGGCTCCCCTCTTTGTTTTTCATCTCTCTCTCCCTTTTTATTTATTCTCTCTCTTCCTTTTTATTTATTTATATTTCCTTTTATTCTCATAAAGATTGAATATACTTTTTTTTATGAAAAAAAACCCTACCTTTTTATTTATTTATACTTGAGACCCTCTTTTATTTTTTCTATTTTTTATTTTTTTTTTTCAATTTTATACATATAATAAATAAATAATATTATAACATATATATATATGTATTTCAATTTATTTATTAAAAAAAATATGTACATGTATGTCAATTAAAAATAAAAAAAAAATTATATAGATAAATTAAAAATATAATTAATAAAAATAATACATAAGCGCTCCTAATCTACAACTCCTCTAAGTGGCCACGTTCCCCCACTCCTGCTCCTGCTCCCGCTCCTGCTCCCGCTCCTGCTCCTGCTCCCGCTCCCGCTCCCGCTTCATGCAACTAAGGTCTTTACTTTGTTGGAGGAAAACTTTTAATCGGTAAAAGATGGTATCCGGGCATGGTTATCAAAATCGCAATCCATTTATTGACTGCCCATGACTTGAATAGGAAGATTTTTCCTAAGAAAATGTCCTACAGAACAAGTTGCCATTGAGAAATCCCCTTGCTACTGATTTCGAGGGGCACAGGAACATTGGCCCCTTGCTTGACAAGTCCAATGTTATGAAGTTTAATTTTACCAGACTCCTGCTCTATTTCGGGTTTAGTAAAAAGAGAGCTCCAGCTTGAAAGATTTTGTGTTACTTACCCTGCTCGGAGCAGAGATAGTGCTGTCTATGTTGGTGCTAACAACACTTGTAGCACAAGGTTCGCCAAACCAAAAGAGACTGCGTGGAAGCATTGTTTTTTCATAATGGCTAACAGCTGTGCTAGTCATGACTACACATCAAGGACAAGGTATAGTGAACAACAATAAGAAGTTTTTAAGAACAACTTGGCATAATAATTAAGGATTTAATGAAAGTTTAACTGTCTTTCAATATACAAAAGAAGATATCATTCATGAGATGTTAATTTTGTTATGTATTTCCCCTTGAAACTTGAGTTGGAAGTTATATTATAGATGAGGGTAAAGGGAATCAGAGAGGTTCACCAGTGGCAGTTAATGAGAAATGATTTGTCAATCATGACAACAAAAGTGAGAATTTGTATGTTGGGGAAATAATGCAATTAATTATGATGTTTTTTCTTCACTTGCAAAAGTTGCAAGAAATTGACAAATGAATAAACTCAGTTTTCGTTACCCTGAGGGTTTGGCCTAGCGGGTGCAACTTGGGGCCTGGGGGTGCGCTCCGTCCAGGTATCAGGTTGTACTCCGATTAGGTGTTATCAATTCCTTGGGGCCATGCCCACAGGCTCTGCTCGAGATTTGTCCGATCCACGTGCAGGGGTGTTTTGTGTGGGTTCTGCATTAGTCGAGGTACGTGTAAGCTGGCCTGAACACCTAGTCATAAAAATAAATAAATAAATAAACTCGGCTTTTGTATGTTAGGAAAAATATAGTTGGAAGTTTTTATTTTATACTATATTGGGCGTAGACAATTTTGTAGGTTAAAATTTTAATGTGCCTATGGACCACTGGTGAATTCTTCATTGTTTTATTACGAATTGTTTATACACCCTTTTCTTAATTTATATATATATATATAGTCAGAAACAGTACAAGGGTGTAGTTTTTAAAGATTCATCAGTATGTTTATGGAAGACATTATTTTTTGGGTCTAATCTTGGTCCATAGTTATCATTTGCAAAACTGATTACATGAGAGCATGATTAATTTTAAGATATTGGATTATCATATTTTTGCAACTAAGGCTTTGTTTGTTTCACCGTAAAATATTTTTCATGCAAAATGATTTTGTCCAAAAATAAATTTTTATTGTTGTTTTCCAATGTTTGGTTAGCACTTCAAATGTTTTCTACAACAAAATCCCTAATATAGAACCAATTGTAGAATAAATTTTAAAAGAAAAAAAATAAAGGAAAATGATATTTATACATAATTTTCATATAGAAATGAACACAAATAATGTGGCAATGTCATTCTTACAATTATGAACTATATTAATGAGAATTTTAACTTTTAATAAGTGAATTTTAATGTGACACATCATTGTATATAAATTTTTCATTGCTAAATAGGGGTGATCGTGGATCAGGTTGGGTCAGGTGGCATTCCCTTCACCATCCGTCTAAAATCAGGCGGATTGGAAAAAAATCAATCCGCATCCATCCACCGGTTTGACAATGGATTGAGCGGGCCATATGGGTTGGCGGATGGAAGCGATTGGTTTGGCGGTTTGGATTTTACAAATTTTGGACATTTTTTTGAATTATAAGTCATAACTTGTACAATCTCCAATAACTAGTAATCTAAAAAAATATTTATTATTTGTCTATAATAGGCCATGATATCATGCATGCATATTTTTAAGGTATTGTTTTCTATTTTCACAAAAATATATATTTTATTATTTCTACTCTATGTTGTTATTTATTACCAGTTTCTTTTTTTTTCTTTTTTTCTTTTTTTCTTTTTTTAACTTTATCTAAGGGTGGATCGGGTTCATGTGGGTGCAGGATGGTTGATCCGCCATCCGAATTATATCCACGAATTTTGAAATATTTCATCTGCATCTATCCGCCGAAAGGCACACATCCGCCCAAAATCAATCAGGTTGGGTCGGTTTGGTTGGGTTGAGTGGGTTGGACGGATTCATGATCACCCCTATTGCTAAAGAATAAAGTAAGACAAGGATTGATTGTAACAAAAATAACAATTCCAAAATCTAATTCTGATCAATTGTTCAACCATATATATGAATATATATATATGTAGACATATGGAATTTTTAAACATATATCATTTTATGCTTTATGAAGTAAAATGTTTTAATTAAAAATATTTTACTTACTTTTTGGCCAACCAAACGACGGAAAATAGGTAAAAAAAAATTTGTGGAAAATATTTTACGGTGAAACAATTGGTGCCTAAGAGTATTATTCACTATATTCCAGCGCCCCCACCCTCCTAACATTTGTGTTTGCTCCCCACTCTCACTTCTTTTTCAAATGATGGTTTTGTTTTCAATCTATTCGATAACAATGGCAGTTTTTGTAACTATGCATCTTGTCAGTCTGACTTTCAGTTTTCCCATTGATCATAATAAGGTCTTTGTTTTATTAATTGTACGTATTATTGTTTCACCTCATTGTTGTTGGATCATATTGATTGTTGTTCTGAAACAAAAAAATGTCACATCAAACCCATAATCATTCACTTTTTCTCTCACAAACATCACATCCAACTACAAAAAAATCCAACTATCTTTCCAAACATAAAAATTTTAGCCTCCTAAAATAGCCAAAAACTAAAATAGCAACTTTCCAAACACCCACTATGTATTAGATCAATTACTATAGCATCTTTCGGTGAATTTGTTGATCCTTAGAATTTGGGCAATTGAGAATGAAGAGCTTGGAGAGTCTAAACTTTTTGCCCCCTTTTCTCTCATAAGGAATTTTGGCCTACTTTTTGTGAGTTGGGACAGGTGTTTTTCAATATCAAAAGAAGTATATTTTTGTATGTATAATTCATGTTGTTAATAACTAAAGCTATTGTTAGAATTTACCATAAACCTACCACCACTACCACCTCACCTACTCCACTAAACCTAACCCACTACACCACTACCACCTCACCTAGATGCATATGAGGTGATATTTTTACCCTTCGGTAATTAGGAATATGGTTTATTTTTTGGAGTATTTAATGTAAAATTCATGTGAAAACTTTTGTAGGAGTTGGGATTCCAGTTTCAGAAGTTATATTGGGTTAGATGCTCACTCTGTCCCATTTTGATAGTCCCTTTTGGAAATTCAAACTTTTTAGGGGACATGTAATCATTGCATTTGAATTCAAATTTTAAAGCGCTTATTTCAATAATGCCCTTCTCTTTTCAATTTTAATATATTTCTAGCCATTTAAGAAGGGTAGTTTTGGAAAACTAAATATTTTTTATTTTCAAATAGGACTAACATTTTGGGACATCCTAAAATGGAAAAAAGGACTAACAAAATGGGATAGAGAGAGTATCTTTTTTTAGTTTATTCCTTTTGAAGATTAAAAAGATGGGTTGGAGAAAGGTCTTGAGATGTTGGAATGTGATAATGATTTCATACACACATATATCTTATATAAATTCCAATAAGAATATGGTTGATAAAAACCTGATGGACATTTAAATGTGTATCCAGATTTCAGATGCTGAGAAATCTCATACCTCATAGCGATCAGAAGAGAGATACAGCGTCATTTTTGCTGGAGGTAGATCATTTGATGTAGAAAACATCTTTTTATTTGTTTAGAATCGTTACAGCAAACTGATCACTTTTTTCTGCATGCAGGTGATTGAGTATGTTCAATATTTACAGGAAAAGGTACAAAAGTATGAGGGATCATATCAAGGGTTGAATTCAGAGCCCACAAAGCTGATGCCATGGGTAAATTTAGGCACTTGACCTTTAAAACTTATCAATTTAAAAGGTTCACCTACATGGTCATGTGTGGTTGCATGCTCATTTGAAGCTGCTAGATACTCATCTTATACTTTTAATGTCCCATGTTTGTATGGAAGTTCTGATAAACATTTGGTTGTACTAGCAAGAGCGTAAAATGAAACAAATCACTGAAATCCTTTATATAAATAAAATATTTCTTTGTTTAGTAAGTACTTTATTATATGGCTAATTATGGTAATTAAAATATTTTAATGAAAGCATGGGTACGCCTTTGCAGTGCCAATTATTGATAAAGTGATGATTTGAGTTAAAAGCTGAATGTCCTCAATTTATAAAAATCAAAAGCTAAAATACGAATACCAAAATGTAAAAAATCAAAAAATATTTTTTCTCAAACCATGTTTGTTCTTGGCATAGTGATAATAATGTTCTCATGGACTGTATTACTTATCAAAACAAAATGTTCTCATGAACCTTTTTTTGGGATCAGAACTGCCAGCGCTTTTTGGTCTGCCTTTTCACAATACATGGTTGCATTTGGATTTTGTCCTTCCTTTTTCTTGATACCCACTTTTTCTACCTTATTTTCTTTCCTCGTTCCTTGTTTCTAAAGTGGCAACAAGTTGGGTTGATGATGATTTTAACTGCCTCCATTGATTTCCAGAGGTGAAGAGGATTTGGAAAATGCCATAGCATATTGGGTTTTATATTCTTGCTGAAATATTCCACAGGTAGCATATTAAGTTTCTGTCAATGCTTTTGCTTCAAACAGAGAAATAGTCATTGGCGCATTCAGAGTTTTGTTGGACATACTCAAGCCATAAAGAATGATTCTGGTCCATGTTCAACCTTTCCTGGGAGGTTTGATGAGAATAATATCACTACTTCTATTTCTCCAGTCATACATCCAATTCCAAACCCACATAATCCAATTGAATCTGACAACCCTAGTAGAGATCCCGATGGCAAACCAGTGGAGCAGCAACCTGTATTACCAAGCAAGTCTATAATCATGCCCCCCATGCCTATGCCTTTGCAGGCGAGTGTGCCGGCTTCTGTCCAAGGTGACGATGTGATCCCCCATCCTCTTCAGAGACCAATTTCTGATGCACGATCAACTGAATGCCCAATCATGAGTGATGCATTAAGTCAACAAGAGGAGTTGATGATTGAAGGGGGCACAATTAGCATAACAAGCATTTACTCTCAAGGGTGAGTAATTACATCACTTATATCATCTTTGAGTATGTTCATTGCCAAATTCAGTTTTGAATTTCTCACCTTGTTCAATATCTAAATATGACTGGTTGCATTGAAAGTTCGTTATTTATTTTATTTGTTTTGGTATTGGCACCTCAAAGTCCTGCTTTTAACTTCAATATTTGGTTATATTTATTTTACTTATGAGACATGTTATGATTGTAATTTTCTGTTTCAGGGAAGCTGTTGTAGGCTAAAGAATCTTGGTTTTACATTTAGTTTTTTATTTTATGGGTAAATTACCTAAGCTCCCTTGAGGTAAATTACCTGGCTAATACATTAGTACCTTTGGGGGGTGTTTGATTGAACGGACTGCATAAGGAGGGGGTAATTGCACCGCAATGGACTGTTAGTCCTGAGATAAATAGTCCCTAGTCTATTTGGTTGGAAATGATATGTATTTGACTATTAGTCCAACTTTCACTTTTCTAAGCAAGCGATGGTCTAGTAAGTCTATTGGACATGGAGTCCAATCCCACGAAACAAACGCCCCCTTGGGGTTCTTAAAATTATGTCCCAGCCCTAAAGCTTGTAGTCACATTACATCCTGTCCACTTCACTAGTTCGCCATTAGGTCAATTAATGGTTTGTGTTGATGTCAATGATTAATTTTGTGAAGATACCTATTTAAACCCAATTTCTCTCTCTTTGCTTTGAACTGCAGGCTACCTGCCAACCCCCTCTCTGCCACCACCACCACTGTTTTGTACAACCCCACCCTAACTTCAACCGCTGTGACCCTGAACCCTCCACTAAAAATCCAAACAACACCAATCCAAACTGTTAACACTAATGGGAATACCTCCATCAACTACCCAAACCACCCAACCCCTTGGACATCCACCACACCACCAACTTTTATTAGCTCTACGCCCATAGCACACCTATACCCATCACTATTGACTACCACCCTCCAGACTCCTTACCATGGAAATCATCAACCACCACAAATAAAGTAGCGTTTGCTATCAATTTATCATGTTACTAACAACAATCCATTTACCAAACTCAAGAATCCTCGTTGCGATGCAAGGAATTCCGGCCACTATATTGCGTGTGCACGCATGCACACACAGATCAATAATAGTGAACAGTGGAGATGATAAGTCTCAGAGATAATTTGGGTCTAGAAGGAGATGATGATAATCTAAGAAGCATGGACACTTCTAATATAAAAATGTGTCGTGTTCGACATCAACACAGAATGACCGTCGTAGAAGATTTCAAACATTTAGACATACATAAGACACATTATAGGTGTTAGCGCAGTAGCTTGGGATCCAACGATAAAACAAAATAATGTAAATTTATACCTATTCTCATCTTTTAGACTTCAAAATTCTTGGAATTAAATATTCATATATATGACACACAATAATTATTTATTCTTATATACATGCCATATAATATAAGAAAATATATAAAATAATATATTTTGCACGTGCCTCCCCCGTATCGTGTCTTACATTTTTTGAAATTTTCGATGTTGTCATGTTCATATCGTGTCATGTGTCCATATTTGTGCTTCTTAGATGATAATTACTTTAATTAAAACTATGTTTCATTGAGTTCCACATATGCGATCCTTCATTGATCAATTAGAAGAGGTCCAAATGGGGAAAAACTTTGGTATTGTGGGTTATTTGAGAAAGATTGCAAAAAGAGTGGTTGGGTTGGTAGAGAGAGATTGATGGACAAAGGACGAGAAGAGAGAGGAAGGTAAGAAGATGAAGAGGAAGAGGGGTGATCAGGGAGAAGAGGGTGGGAGCTATGGTGGTTGCCAATGGGAGTGGTTAGGGGTTATTGGAGGTGGGGGAATGTGTGGTTGAGGGTGAGAAATAATAGAGAAAATGGAGAAATGAGAGAGAGAAAAGAGTTGAGGTCAATTGTGGGGGTGGGTGGGGAAAGGAGAGATAATGGAGCAACTGAGCTGGGGGCAATAAGCTAGAAGCACAAACACTTTTAAGAAAGCAGTGTGTCCATGCCATTTACTTCAATTAAAACTATGTTCGATTGAGTTCCACATATGGAATCCTTCCTTGATCAATTAGAAGAGGTCCATATGGGGAAAAATTAGTGAGGGGGATTTGGTATTGGTGGTGGTGGCTGACGGTGGTGGGGGGTTGTTTGAGAAAGATGGCAAAAAGAATGGTTAGGTTGGCGTAGAGAGATGGACAAACAAAGGACGAGAAGGGAGAGAGGAAGATAAAGTTGAATTTTAATAAGGTTGAAAATGGAAAAATAATAGAGACAAAAAAGAGAAAAGAAAGAACACAAAGGTTTATAACGTGGTTCGGCCAATATTGGCATACATCCACACACACAAAGCCCTAAAGGGCTACATCCTTCATTCACTCAACTTAATACTCTCAACTTAATACTCTTATTTACGTGGTACACCATATATATAGATTGGGAGATATAATCAAATCCCTTCAGTTAAGGAATTGAAATAAATCGAAGATACAAAAAATCATAATAAGCATAAACCACGGGATCTCCATATATTCTAATATCTTCCATATCTTTGACAATATAACCTTATTTCCAACACTCCCCCTCAAGTTGGAACACGGAATGGTTGAAGTGAAGTATCCAACTTGAACTCGAAAATAGTATGATCATTACAAACAATTACAATGAAGTTGCCAAAAGATAACAACAATTGTAATAACTCCCTCCATTGAACATAGCAAGGAATCAACATCTTGCAACAAAGAAACGCATTGAATCAATCATGATAGCAATAAGAGAAACCAATCGAGAGAGAGAAAGCAGCAAGGCCGAAGCAAATGACATCCCACAAAGAATGCTACCGAACACACTAGTAGCCCAAAAAAAAAAAAAAAAAAGAACCAAATATGTTTACCACATTAACACAAGGACCCCAAAAGGGTAGAAAAGTAGGCGGAAAACTCGGCATATCACATAATAATTCTACCGACCCCACCGGCAGTCCCGAAATAAGCAAAAATCATAAAGTTTGCTTACCACATCAGCAAATTGGTGGTCAACTCAAGGAAGAGAGAGAAAAACACCTTGATAACAAAAAATGTGGAGTGAGAAAGCACTCCATAAAGAAACATGCTTAGGATTCAGTAGGCTCTGATGCCAAGTTGAATTTTGTAATAAGGTAATAAGGTTGAATATGGAAAAATAATAGAGACGAAAAAGAGAAGAAAGAACACAAAGGTTTAACGTGGTTCGGCCAATATTGGCCTACATCCACACCCTAAAGGGCTACATCTTTCATTCACTGAACTTAATACTCTTGTTTTCATAATACTCTATATATATATAGAGTGGGAGATGCAATCAAATTCCTTCAGTTAAGGAATTGAAATAAATTAAAGGTACAAAAAATCATAATAAGCATAAATCATGGAATCTCCATATATTCTAATATCTTTCATATCTTCTGATATCTTTAACAATATAATCTTATTTCCAACAAGAAGACGAAGAGGAAGAGGGGTGATCAGGGAGGAAAGGGTGGGGGCTGTGGCGGTTGCCAATGGGAGTGGGGGTGGGGGTTATCGGAGATGGGAATGTGAGGTTGAAGGGGAGAAATGAGAGATTTAGAAATGTGGAATACGTATAGCTAGGGTGGGGGTGGGAGTGGGTGTGGAAAGGAGAGATGATGGAGCAATTGAGGTGTGGGCTATAAGCTAAGAAGCATAGACACTTCTGAGAAAGTAGCGTGCCCACATCAACCATGTGTCGGACACGTCTCAACACGTGTTGGACACTCATCCAAATGTATTCTCTTTTTGTTTTGTTTTGTTTTGTTTTTGTTTTTTGTTTTTTTAACGATCCGAACATGTTTCGAAAACTGGGTGACACACATGTCCATTGCTTGGACATAGATAACTAATTGTAAGTTTGAACAAAATAATTTGGTATATAATGATAAAAGAAAAATAATATAGATTTATAATAATTAGTGTTATTTTACATTTCTGTATTATATTTGAATGATATATTCATAAATATATGATAAATTATATTATAGAAAACTATATATTATGTGTATCCCCACTTGTCACGTACTGCATTTAAAAAAAATTATCTTGTTCGTGTTGTGTCGCTTGCCAGGGTCTGTACTTTGTAGATAGTAAGGTAATTTTATATTTTTTGTTAAACATAGGCAGAGAGGTCAGTATAATTTCAAAAATGTCAAGAAGGAATCTGTATTGGTCACTAATCTCAAAGGAGGTCAATGCAATTTACCTTTTTATTTTTTTATTTTCTCATATCGCTAGGTTGTTTGCTTCTACTAATTATAGTTTTAGGATGATCTATGACATCCATTAGCCTAATAGAAAAAGGAAGATCATTTGTTATCTTAGCTACACTGGTTGGAAATTTTTTGTCTAAGGGGGGTTGCACAGTTTGGGGTTGGAGCTTAGGTACAAAATGGTGTATCTGCCCCTAGCAAATGGGTAGTCAGCCATCTGAGCTATCAAAGTCATGAAATTGTTTAGGTCAACGTCCCGTTTGTTTTCATTCTAATCTGTTCAATACATTGTGAAAGCTTGTCAAGATCATCTCCCTTTTGACATCCATCAGTTTATTTTTTCTCTTATGCAGTGTTGGTTTAGAAATTGTGGAACTTTTGTGAAAGGATGGGTATTACTATCACTGGATCCTAAAAGTACGAGCAGTATCAATCTGTAACACGTTGTTGTTGTTGTTGTTTTCAGTATGTGTGTGTGTGTGTGTGTGTGTGTATAACATTGTACTGATGTCTGTTTTTTGGGTAATAGAACAGTGGCTTCATGACTAAAGAAGGTTCATGTATGTTATTCATCTGAAAGTGTAATAACACAGTCAACTAACTTACGGATGGTGTATAGAGGGAGGCTGTTTTTTTATTATTTTATTTTTAAGTTGTTTTAAAGTACAATCAGATGTTTTCAAATTTGCGGCATTTATCCATATTTTGAAACACAAGCCCCAATCCTAATCAGATTTCATCTCATGTAAAAAAATGTAAAGATCTGTGTAATACTTTCAAACCAGGAGAATGTTGAATATCTGCATTTTTATCCAATGCTCATGGTAGGGTTTCATGCTAGTTTTGTAAACTGGTGACTAACGGGAGATTTGCTGTTAAATAGGTTACTAAATAATCTGACACAAGCACTGCAGAGTGCGGGTGTTGATCTGTCCCAGGCCACTGCCTCAGTGCAGATTGAACTAGGGAAGCGAGCAAATAGAGGAGTGACATCTGGTGTGCCCATTGCTAAGGTAAAGGTATTTCATTCCCGTTCCCAGCATTAGGGGTTGCACAGATAGATGTGCTTGATTTGACCATTAAAAATAGAATTTCATTTCAATTATTGGACTAGACTGTATATGTTTCATCATCACCACCTTGCACTTGATCCCCATTCTTTTTGCTTCTCATAGTTCTTCGGATAGTACAACAGAACATATTTTCAAGTGATAGGGATTGTAATATTTTTGTGCAACTCGCATATTCTTTTATTTTGCCTCTGGCTTGTAAACAATTAAGTGGAGTTTTGTAATTTCATACTTCAGATATCTCTCTCTCTCATTTTGATTGGTGTGTATAATTATCCTGTTGTTTCTATCCAGGATCCTGAGAATACCCCTTCTTCCCATCAACCGTTTGGACATTTTAGGGATGCAAGCAATGGTGAAGACCTAGATCAAGCACAAAAGAGGCTGAAGATATAAACTAGTATGGTGCTTCCTCGAATCTTCATTTACATTTTACACTCATTTACATGTCATCTCCTGGTTTATGAATTCATCACGTGTACATGCCGTGTTTTCTCTTCTGTTTTTTTTTTTCTTTTTTTTCTTTTTCCCCTCAGTTTTTTGGGTTTTGTGTACACTATCATAGGTTCCTTTATTTTTTGTTTGGTAGATAGCATTCCCTCTGATTCCCTTAAATTAGAAGTAATTGAAGAAATGTCTCTGATAAACATTCCCTCTGTTGATTGTATTCATATAAATGTTTCTATGTGCTTTATATTCAAAACCTGTTCTATTTGATATCTAGTTGTGTTGCATAAACATTCTATACGAGTATTTTACTTTCTAAGTGCATGTAAGAAGTATATTCTGTTGGATGAAAGTATCTGAATCTGGGGATGTAATTGTTGATTGGAATAGGCACATTACTTAAAGATGATTCATGTTAAATCTAGATGCGAAACAGAAAGAGAAGTTTTCTCCAGCTTTGGGGAAGTTTTCTCCAGCTGCTGCCGTATTGAGCATTCCCCCACCCCCACATTCTTAAGCAACAATGGAGACTCTGCATTTTTGCTAAACAGGGTTTGTTTTTCCTTTATGATTATTTATTTTCTTTTCGGTAATTATTGCATGGACATCTCTCTCTCTCTCTCGTTCTCACACACACACACACACGTGCGCGCGCACACACACCTGACAACATTTGAATCTTTAAATCTTTTTGTAGGTAGGGTAGCCTGGGCTGGGTTAGGGATGGGCTGGCACTATATAGTAGGTCTAAAGTCTGGTTTTGCTCGCTTAATTTTGTTACCTTAAGCCTGGCCCAAAAAATCTTCTAAATTCAAAGTTTGCCTACTTAATTTTGTAATATGTTCATTTGATAATATCACTATGAATATAATATCTCAGTTTGTTGCCACTTTCACATCATTTTGGACATAAATGCAAGATAAAAAAATAAAAATAAAAAATTTGGTGGTATATTATTTTTCCTTTCAAATGTAATGTTTGTTGGGAAATTTATCTTCAGTCATCTTGAAGAGACAGGGGTTTAAAAGCAATTATCTGTTGTGTGCTCATTATTTGTTGTGATTGAATCACCTTGCTTATTTTTGTGATTGAATGGCTCAGACATGCTGGTACAAGAATGACACACAGATTAAACCATATTGAGAAAACAATATCTTCCTGTAAATAAATACATAAATAAATGATAGGAAAATGTTTGGTAGCTCAAAATTTTGTGGCTCAAATGGCTCAAATCCCTCAAAACGACGTCGTTTTACACTCATTTACACTCAAAACGATGTCGTTTTGAGGGATTTGAGCCATTTGAGCCACAAAATTTTGAGCTACCTAGCATTGTTGTAAATGATAAGGTGGAGATCCAAACCAAATTGAAACGAAAATGGATTTTTTTTATAATAGTAGGTTGATAGATAGAAGAAATCTTCCCACAAAATTAAGCCAAAGTGAATCCATAGGCTATACTGTTAAAGCAAGATTTCTATATGGTACACAGTAATTTGCAAATAATAATAATAATAATGTACATAGAAGTGCATAGAATGCAGTATTATCTTGGTGGAGTGTGAGATGAATGCATCACTTTCTGTGTTTGTATATTTTTTCATTCGGGTATTTGTACTCACTTCTTTCAATATTCTGTCAAGGGTTTCATTATTATGTGTTCTTACTGGCTAGCTTGATATAAAAATATTATAATAATTTTTATAAAAAAAAATCCTTTGGTCCTCTGAAAATTTGTTTGGTTTGTTCTCTCTCTCTCTCTGTGGTTCTTTCATTATATCTTTCCTCAAGTCCTCTTCTTGTCAAAACAAGGAAATAAATAATATAACTACAAAAACATCATTTTACATGCATGTTTTAGAAAAAGGTATTTCCATTCCTTTGGCCCTTATAGGTCTTCTTGTTAAAAAGCTTATGCTATGAAAGTAGATTTTTTTTTTTAAAAAAAATAAATTCCTTTTCGTGATCTATGTTGTGTAAAGAACACCTATTTTGTATCAACATCGCTTGATAAGTTCCTTATCGCTTTCAAATATTCTAATATGATTGATTAAAAGCTATATGAAGATATGAAAATTGATTGATTAAAAGCTACAAAGAGCATACCTTTGTTGTGCTTGTAATAGGTATTTCCATCTATATGAGGGGGTTTGAAAACGTCGCTGGAAACGTCGAAGACCGCCAGAAAAGTTGCTAGAATCTTCTAAGGCTCGCCGGAAAATTTAAATGTCGGTGGAAATTTCGAGTCTCCTAGAAATTAGTGGCGAGGTTAAGATTCTTCAATGATCACAACTTGTTGCAATATCTAAGAGAGAGAGAAAATATTGTATTGTGTATATTCAAATAAAATTACAATAATAATAAAATATTGATAGATTTGAGGTAAATAGATTCCAAAGTCCAGATGAGAGTACAAGGGCGTTTGAGATAAATCAAAAGCTGAAGCTAATATCGGGATACAATTTATGGTCGTGTCAGACCGTTGTAGAAAAAGAACGGGTGTTGAACTACCAAACGTGACACACACGTAGCTTATGACGTAGTGTTAAACAGTGATGGCAACAAATAAAGAAGTGTGCTAGAGGATGTCTTGGAAAGGAACAAAAAATGCGCCTAGGGGACCACTTCGGTGGTGCACCAAGGGGGCGACTTAGGTAGTGTGTCAAAGGGACGGCTTAAGAAGGTTTGCATGCACCAATGGAACGGCTTGGATGGTTTGCATGGTGCATAACCATGCTTACCATAATGTAGGTGTAATACATCCCTCCCCTTCCCCACCTCCAACTCAAATAGATTTGAAGATATAAACCTATTTGAAGTTGAAGCAAAGGGAAAGACATAATGGAGCAGAAAAGATATTTTTTTTCATAGTATATAAACAAGATTTTTTATTATTATTTTTATTATGAAAAAAAATAATAAAAAATCAGATGGGTTGGTGGAAGCAAGCCCATGTAATGATGAGAATAAAAAATAAATAAATAAATGTGTAAAATAATGAAAGTGGAGAACAAAGCTTATGTAATAAAGTAAAGAGGAAAATAGAAAATTAGTAGTTATGTTGGTTTTGCCGTTGAAGCTAATGAAGAAAAAATAATAAAACATGTAGTATGATATTGAGATGGTGATGGGTTTGTGGGCAGCACTGTGAGATGGCGGCGATGGCCGTAGTTGAGAGATGCAGAGGAACTTTGGTCGGTGATGGAAGAACATAAAGAAACCAGTGGACAAATGAGATCATCACAAAATGATACTAAAAGAAAAATATAACAATGGATTGAGTTGAGGTCCGGCGGGCGGCCAAGGCAAAGCTACCGCCCGCCAATGAAACGAAATTACTAGATACTTAATCTAACTCTGATACCATGTTAAAATATCTAAGAGAAAGAGAGAGAACGAATATTATATTGTGTGTATACAAGACTTCTTTATATAGAAAGAGAGAAATGTAAGTACGATAATGAATATAATATGATATGTATGATAGATAGAATATATAGTTATTATATTTAACACAACTAATAGAAACTCACATAGAAAAGAGATGATGGAAAGAAAAGGTTGGGTAAAGAAGGCGGCAAAGAAGTTAGAGAGAGATAATCATAGCAAACTCCCATAAATCTCATTTTCACTCTTAAGGAAGAAAGATGAGAACTTCCAATGACTCTCTCTCTCTCTCTCTCTCTCTCTCTCTCTCTCTCTCTCTCTCTCTCAAATTCCTCCTCCTTAAAGCTATGAGGAGTGCTTTATATATAGGCAACTCAAGTGGTGGAGTCTCATGTGCAAGGCACGTGGGGGAAATATTCTCTCTAGCTACTTTGTCCAAGTAGGTGACCTCTCCGAGGATGAGAAAAGTCCCAAAAATGAGCTCAACCCCTCGACGAACCCCTTTTCTTAGTCATACCGAACCAATGCTCCCCAACTATCCCAAATGGTCGAGGTAGTCCTAGAGGCCCCCCTGCCACTAATATTGTCGAGTCTCATGAGCCCCTCAAAGTCGTGCCACCTCGACCCGAGTATAGGCTAAATTGATCGATGAGTGAATTCATCTCTACCCACCGTCTTTGGGATTCTGGCTCTTTGTTTAGGCTCTAACGCACTCATATTTCTAGAGGGTTGATCCCAGAATGCTCCAAGTTCGCAAAAAGGAGCGGTCTGTAGGTTGCAATCGAATCCGTTTGAAACCTGAATGCATCGGATCTCTAAGCTTGCTCAATGCCTTTTTGAGTACGGGCCCGATTAAGTCTCTAGATTTGTGGATCCAAACCCTTTCAAGGCTTAGAGCAATCTGGCCCGTTTGATGGTAATAAATCCGGACCCACTAGTTTTGGACTTTCTGATTTGGCCTAATTAATTTAATGGGCTCAAACTAAACCCCTCTTACACTATCTACCATGCTTTTTGCATCAACCCCATTAATGGAACCTTGTGCTAGTAGTTTGATTCTCAATTATTCTGAGCTAACTTTTCTTTTATTTTATTATTATTATTATTATTATTATTATTTAAATAATCAGTTGAATTTGAATTTGAATTCTAGAGTTTCCTCTACAATAGCTTCCACATATATTGTTTATAAGAACAAACTTACTTGACTAGAATTAAGGACAAAAGTATTAAATTTGTAATATATTTCTGAAAAGGCATATTGTTCCTTTTTTCTGGTGTTTGTTTTTAAACTTGGAAAACATTTTATTGCTATGTAAATAGACATAAATTGGGCAATCCTTGTGTGTTCCAACTATCAATACGTATAGAATAATTTGCACAATTTTCATTACAGGGTACTCTGTTATTGGCCTGCCTGCATTTTTACATATATATTTATATATATGAAAGTGAATGTAACATGTAAATAAGGTGAATCATCAATGCACATGACAATGACAATGACAATGATAATGACCATGACATCAAATCTGTGATGGTTTGTTTTAAGTGGAGGGTGAGGGTGAAGGTGGAGCCAAACATTCTTGTGGGTTGGACCAGAAGTAGTCCTCGTCCTTTGGTTTTCCAGGAGTCACGACTCTATCCGCCGGGTTCCCCCACCTGTTTGCATGAGCTTCCTTCATCACAACTGAAAACTCTTCCCACTTTAGTTTTCCTTTGTTGTACTTGTCTGTCAGATTCACCACAATCTTTCTGTTTGGATCCAATGTTTTCTTGAATCCCAGGAACCTGACAATTCAATACAACACATTACACAACACCATATTAGATGGAACAAGTAGATCATTTTCATATGGAAAATGCTATTCCACCAAAATTCGTAAACAAATTTTATCCCAGAATGATGTGACAGTTTTATTTTGGTAATTAAAGACATCTCAATGGCTTCTTTGTTTTAAAATGATAGGCTCACAATCCAGTTAAATCATTCTGTATAGATTTTCTGTTGTTTGTATATCACTGCTCTTTTCAAGTAATCCACACACAGGTATATAACTATAATAGGTCAGGCTTCTATATCTGTGTGTCAAGTGCATTGAACCTGATAGGCCTGGGGAGAGAAGCCATTTTCTTATTAATAAATTGAAGCATTTCATTTCACTGTAGTAGATACCTTCTATGGCCTTCAACAACTTTTGCCATGTTGCCTCCATATGTTGGGACAAATATATCACTCTCAACCGAAACAATATAATCCAATGCTGCCATTTGAGATGAATGGTTCTGGAAGGGCAATAGCTCTGAGGGTTTAAGTAATGTTTCCTTCTTCACCTGTTTCGCACATCACATAAACCCAAACAAATTTTAATGTCAAAAACTCTCAAACCCTATTAAAAGTCAGATAGATTGTACACAGCTGGTAGCTGTTCTTGAGGCTTGAACTCGAACTTACTAACCAAATTTGGAAAAGCCGCTGCTAGATTCGCCAACCTTGTCTTTCCTCCATATATATCTCCAGCAGCAATATAAATCTGGATGTTTTGATCAATGTCCAGTGCTCGCAATGTCAAAGCCGCTTCCTCCGGAGTCATAGGGCACAGCCCTGCTTTTCTTTTCTTTGTAGAGTTTATAACCTTGTCTTTCCACCATGGATAAGCATACCTGTTAATATAAATATTAACATACAATTTAAGCAAAAGAGGTGCATACATATTTGTCACAGATCTACCAATTCTCCCCCCCCCAAAATAGTTAGGTCAAGTTTGGCTATTCTAAATAAGTACACACTTTTTATCTTTTTTTCATCACATCATCTTTGTTTCATCTTCTTCTCCTTCTTCACCTCTAGCTGTTTCTCCTCCTCTGGTTTCTTTTTCCCCTCCGTTGTTAGTCTATTCTTGTCGCCGGGTTCCTCCACCACCAATTGTCTTTACTCCTGTTGTTGCTCCTTTTGCTTCTGACGACTTTGATCTTGCTAATCACCGATATCCTACACGCCAGTGTCGTCCCCCAAACAGGTTGGGTTAGTCTAATATATGTTTTTCTGCTTCCTATCGTACTTTTTTGTCTGTTATTCATTCTTTTTCAATACCTCAGTCTTACACGGAGGCCTGTTAGGATCCTAATTGGGTTCAAGCTATGGAGGATGAGTTGTTTGTCTTGCAGAAGACTAATACTTGGGAGTGGGTTTCTTTTGGCCAAGTTTGGGAAGACTAAATAAGTGTACTTTTTGACTTTTTTTGTATTATGTGTAGAAAAAGTAGAGAGGAGATGTTGATTGATGTGACCCAAAAAAGATAAAAAGATGAAATAAGTGCACTTTTTTAGGTTAGCCAAACTTGGCCTAAATATCAATAGAAATATTCACAGTTGATTGCAATTGATTATTTTAAACAATTCATGACTGCATCATCCGATTCCTGATAAGTATTGTTTGATACTTCTAATATTATTAAACTACAATTGATATTAATTTGTCTCTCGATACTGCTCAAACAAAATATATATATATATATATATATTATTAGAGCTCGGGTACTAACCGTGTTACTATAATAGGACATGTTAGACCAGCTAATTGGTGGCATGGAGTAAAATGTGCCCATCTCCACTATTTTCTTCAGATTTGGAGGCAACTCTCTCTGTATCTTAACCTTGTCTCTTAAGGACGTGATGAAGTAATCCACGTCGAATATATCCTTGAACTCACTTCCATATCAAGTAAACTACGTGAATGAATCGTTGAGATAAAAATAAAAAGGAAAGCTGGACTAACTCACGAATTAAACCACTGGGATATTATTTCAAATATCAAACAATATTCGATATAATCTAGTTTTACCTGTAATCATTCCAAAAGGAGGTTTTGTCAAGTTCAGGAACTATTAGTGTGACATTTATGTAGCTTGCAATAGCAACCATGTCACAAATCTGTACCAATATGAGGTTTAATTAGCAAATACATATATGCAACAACAACAACAATGTACAAGATAGCAGGGTAGAGCACCCATATGCTATATTGGAGAGAGAGAGACAGAGAGAGAGTTGTCACTCACTCCGGCTCGCATTTGGTTCAGTCCTCCATTGCTTGAAACCATCAGATATCCATTACTCTTGTAAAGCCCTGAAGGCAATGATAACGTTTAATCAAGGTGCCAAACTTACATATACGCAAGTAAATTATATAAACAACAAAAATTATACTAATAATGGTATATGTAGAGTACTGACTTGCAGATGGAATAGAAGAAGAAGAAGACCAGTGCTGCACCACCCTGAGCCACCTTGTCTGATTCAGTGCTGCTAGCTGCACTGCACAACCCCAAATCAAAACTACTGTCGTTACCCAAATGGCCCACATCTGTATTTGAGCCATTAATTGCGCTCGAGCAGCCATAGAATATTTCAACTTCTCAATTTTGATCTTTCCCAAGTATTTCAAACCCATCTTATCAAATTCTTTCTCGTTTAACGCCTCATCCGTCTCATAACCTTGCACCCAGCCATCAATAAATTATCTGTACTAACACATGTTCAAAAATTAATATGGCTACAAACCGGGATTTTGTTACTTAAAACTTAAACTATTTTATGAACTTTGAACTTTTTTTTTTTTTTGGGTGCTTTTCTTCTCCTCTATAAGTATTTAAAAAGTTAAAAAAAAAAACCTTAATTGAAGGAAAGGAAATGCAGAGGAAAGAGTTGTGGTGTTTTTGAAGAGACGAGAAACGTGAATAAGAGAAGAGGTTTTCCGGCAGCTACTGCCACCGGAAAGTTGGTGGTGGAGTTGGCTGATACAGATACAGAATGGTGAGGCAATATTGCTGACCTTTTAAAGAGAAGGAGGCGAGGGGTCTATGTGCAAGCCATGGTGTTGAACAAGCCTTCATTATTATTATTATTATTATTATTTGTTGTCGTAAATAAATTGTGGCAACATCCATTGCTCTACACCATACAAGTAATGTCCACTTCACTACAATGAATTATATTATGCCTTGTAACCTTACATGTTCCACGTATGTTCAAATTACAATAACATGCATGCACACAATTAAATGTATTTCGATTTCTTCAAAATACCTCAAAAAGTTGCGTTGTGAGAAAAATTATTCACAAGTTTACTCAAAATTGAAATTTGTAGACAACCTATTAACTTTAAATTACATCCTACATTTTATAGATAAAATTCTGGTTAAGCTTCCATGCTAATTACAATCAATAAGATTAAGGAGCCTCCCTAATTTATTTGAAAATTTATCAATTACCCACATGGCAACCCACCTCAAAGTGTAGGCTTTTAACGAAAAATAGTGTTTCAATTAATTAGGCTATCAATTTGTTATTAGGGCGAATTACGCTAATAGTTCCTGTAGTTTAAGGTTCATATCACTTTGGTCCCTGACTTTTTAATTGTAACACATTTGATTATTAATTTTAAATCTTGTTTCAAATAAAAATAATTGAAGATATCATTACTCAATTTCAAGGGCAAAGTTAACAATTTGATAAAATATAAACTAATTTAACAAAAATAAATGTCAAAAAAATATTTTTGAATTTTTAAAAATAATTTCTACCCACCAAAGATAAAATTATGTAAAATTGATCAATCTTTTAGACATTTATTTATTTATTTTATCAAATTAATTTTTATTATATGTTTGGATGATGATCATGTAATTGGTGGTTATTAGACTTTTAATATGTAATCAATATATTCAGGGATTGTTTGGGATGACCTAAATAAGTGTACTTTTTGTCTTTTAACGAAAAGATGTGCAGAAACATAGAGAGATGATGTGATGAAAAAAAGATAAAAAGATAAAAAGTGTGTACTTATTTTGGATTGCCAAACTTGACCTTAATATATGAAATATTTTAGTTTTGAATTTTTTGATTTAATGGATAGGTTTAATATAGAATCATAGGGAATAATTCGTATTTTAATCAAATCTTAAGAAGTATATTTATAATTTACCTGAATAAAAACAACCTCCACATTGAGGTGGGCAGTTGGATTTTTGGGAGTTTCCCTAAACTAGTTGGAATTCAACTAGAATTATTGTCCACGTATTTCAATTATGGGTAAAATTGTGAATAATTTTTTTTTGGGTATGTAACACAACTAACCTTTAACTATCTTTTGCAAATTTAAAAGAGTGGATCCTACACTACAATAAACTAAATTTTTCTCCAAAAGTATTTAAAAAAAAATTATAAAAAATATTTGAGGATCAATTTCTGTTATTGCAAGAATAGTTGTTAAAAGTCATTCCGAAAAGTAAAGAAAAAAATGGCTTTTTGTAAAAAAAATTTGAAAACACCATTAATAAATGCACTTTTAAAGAAAAAATAATTTGATTCCGAAAAGATTAATTGTTTGAAACAAAAACATTGGTCAAAAATAATAGTAATTCATCATTAAATATTTAATTTCATCACTAAAGATATAATAATGACACCTATAATAAAAATATTTTATCTCTAAAAATTAATTCAGTCTCTAAAATATTATTATTATTATTATTTTTATTTATTTTATTTTTTTTTGAACGGAGTCTCTAAAATATTAATTTGTTGTTTATATTCTCATCAAATTAGTTAAGCGGGTCTTATTGCTTAGGATCATCAGATTCATATGCAAATGTAAAATTTGTATCCATTTATTCTTCCTACATATTATTTTTTTTTTTAGTGTTCACACTTACAAATTTATTTATTTTTAATTTTACTAATTCCACACACCAAATGTTTTAAATATACCTGTAAGACATAATATGTGTACACATCAGTACAAAAATTCAACACATTATATACACAAACCACAAAAACTATAATTCTGCACCATACCCCTAAACATAAACCTAAATTGTGATATACATACACGGTATTTTTCAAAACTCCGCAATACTTGAGCGATTGAAACACAACAAAGAATCATCTAAAGCAAATCATTCTCCGATATTTTCTGAGATATATGATTTTCAAAAATCAACAACTTTTAATTATTATTTTACTATTATTCTACAAAAATTAGGGTATTATTTTACTATTTTTGTTGTTTGTTTGTATTGGCTTGGGAAAAGAATAAAAACCATTAGTACTGGTTATTCGAACAAATTTTAAAAATTCAGCAATCAACAATTAAATAAAATTATAATTTTCGGTTCTATATTTCTAAATAAAATTTAAATTTTTGTCATATAACAAAAGAAAAATGTCCGGTTCTGTACTTCTGAATTAAATATATATTTTTAATCTGTAGTACTAAACCATTTATATATATTTGCTTATATAGTTATGAATTATTTGCATATTTTCTGAATGAGATTTTAATTTTTTCTTTTCTTCCTCTCTATTTATATATTTTCAATCTAATGTGTATGTTTTTAAAATATGTATACTAAAAAAATCTATATTCAAAAGGGTCTATTGAGAAAATTTAGTTTTAAAGTTGGTGGGTGTATCGATCTCTATATTAGTCATTTTGTTTAATAGTAAAATTTAAAAAAAAAATTAATTTATTAAATATGTGCACAAAGATAAATGATGTTTACAAGTAAAATTATTCATTTTTTAAAATCACGTTAGAGAGAGAAAAAAAAAATCCTAGAATCCAATTTGACTGATATCTAATAACGGTGATTGAGATGGGGTCCTCAATTTATTGATCTCAATATCATGTCATTGCTATTGGTTGTTTCATTCTATTTATTATAATAAGTACCCTTAATTTAATATTTCAATATCATTGATTGGAAAATTTTGCAATCATCATTAATAAATCTAAAGAGAAATACAAGAAAAAGAAATTTTGTAATTGGTATTCAATAGTCGTTTTCAAAAATTAACTTCTTTCTCAGCATTCTTGTGGGTTGGACCAGAAGTAGTCCTCATCCTTTGGTTTTCCAGGAATCACAACTCTATCCGCCGGCTTCCCCCACCTGTTTGCATGAGCTTCCTTCATCACAGCTGAAAACTTTTCCCACTTTAATTTTCCTTTGTTGTACTTGTCTGTCAGATTCACCACAATCTTTCTGTTTGGATCCAATGTTTTCTTGAATCCCAGGAACCTGACAATTTAATACAATACATTACACAACACCATATTAGATGGAACAAGTAGATCTTTTTCCACCAAAATTCGTAAACAAAATTTTATACCAGAAATGATGTGACAGTTTTATTTTGGTAATTAAAGACATCTCAATGGCTTCTTTGTTTTAAAATGATAGGATCAAAATCCAGTCAAATCATTCCGTATAAATTTTCTGTTTGTATATCACTGCTCGTTACAAATACTCCACACGCAGGTATATAACTATAATTGGTCAGGCTTCTATATCTGTGTGTCAAGTGCATTGAACCTGAGAGGCCTGGGGAGAGAAGCCATTTTCTTATTAATAAATTGAAGCATTTCATTTCACTGTAGTAGATACCTTCTATGGCCTTCAACAACTTTTGCCATGTTGCCTCCATATGTTGGGACAAATATATCACTCTCAACCGAAACAATATAATCCAATGCTGCCTTTTGAGATGAATGGTTCTGGAAGGGCAATAGCTCTGAGGGTTTAAGTAATGTTTCCTTCTTCACCTGTTTCGCACATCACATAAACCCAAACAAATTTTAATGTCAAAAACTCTCAAACCGTATTAAAAGTCAGATAGATTGTACACGGCTGGTAGCTGTTCTTGAGGCTTGAACTAAAACTTACTAACCAAATTTGGAAAAGCCGCTGCTAGACTCGCCAACCTTGTCTTTCCTCCATATATATCTCCAGCAGCAATATAAATCTGGATGTTTTGATCAATGTCCAGTGCTCGCAATGTCAAAGCCGCTTCCTCCGGAGTGATAGGGCACAGCCCTGCTTTTCTTTTCTTTGTAGAGTTTATAACCTTGTCTTTCCACCATGGATAAGCATACCTGTTAATATAAATATTAACATACAATTTAAGCAAAAGAGGTGCATACATATTTGTCACAGATCTACCAATTCTCCCCCCCCCAAAAAAAAAAAAAAAAAAAAAACAAAAATCTCACCTCATTTTTGTCAACTCTTCAACCTCTGTAGCATTGCAACCTTGAGTACAACCAGAGAATGCCAACATGTCCATTTCATATCTAAGGTGAAGAACTAGAAATGGACCCTTTTGCCGTAGAAGGTCAACTATCTTTCTACCCAACTTCTCTATGGCAGGAGTGAATCTTAGGGCATTGTAATTTGCTCGACACCGTAGCTTCTGAACCTCCAAAGGAAGCCCGTTGTTGGCAAGCCGAGCATCAGTCTTAGTGAGGTGCAAAAGTTCATACTCTTCTATTTGAGAAAGAATCTACACAATAACAAATAGTTATTTGTCATAATAATAGGACTCTATACACATGCTCACACCGGCAAAACTCATGCTCAAACCATGGTACTAAATATCAGTCAAAACATGTCATCAAAGTTTTTTACCTCTTGCTACTAAATATCAATAGAAATATTCACAGTTGATTGCAATTGATTATTTTAAACAATTCATGACTGCGTCATCCGATTCCTGATAAGTATTGTTTGATACTTCTAATATTATTACACTACAATTGATATTAATTTGTCTCTCGATACTGCTCAAACAAAATATATATATATATATTATTAGAGCTCGGGTACTAACCGTGTTACTATAATAGGACATGTTAGACCAGCTAATTGGTGGCATGGAGTAAAATGTGCCCATCTCCACTATTTTCTTCAGATTTGGAGGCAACTCTCTCTGTATCTTAACCTTGTCTCTTAAGGACGTGATGAAGTAATCCACGTCGAATATATCCTTGAACTCACTTCCATATCAAGTAAACTACGTGAATGAATCGTTGAGATAAAAATAAAAAGGAAAGCTGGACTAACTCACGAATTAAACCACTCGGAAATTATTTCAAATATCAAACAATATTCGATATAATCTAGTTTTACCTGTAATCATTCCAAAAGGAGGTTTTGTCAAGTTCAGGAACTATTAGTGTGACATTTATGTAGCTTGCAATAGCAACCATGTCACAAATCTGTACCAATATGAGGTTTAATTACTTAGCACATACATATATGCAACAACAACAACAATGTACAAGATAGCAAGGTAGAGCACCCATATGCTATATTGGAGAGAGAGAGAGAGAGAGAGAGAGAGAGAGTTGTCACTCACTCCGGCTCGCATTTGGTTTAGTCCTCCATTGCTTGAAACCATCAGATATCCATTACTCTTGTAAAACCCTGAAGGCAATGATAACGTTTAATCAAGGTGCCAAACTTACATACACGCAAGTAAATTATATAAACAACAAAAATTATACTAATAATGGTATATGTAGAGTACTGACTTGCAGATGGAATAGAAGAAGAAGAAGACCAGTGCTGCACCACCCTGAGCCACCTTGTCTGATTCAGTGCTGCTAGCTGCACTGCACAACCCCAAATCAAAACTACCGTCATTACCCAAATGGCCCACATCTTTATTTGAGCCATTAATCGCGCTCGAGCAGCCATAGAATATTTCAACTTCTCAATTTTGATCTTTCCCAAGTATTTCAAACCCATCTTATCAAAATCTTTCTCGTTTAACGCCTCATCCGTCTCATAAACCTTGCACCCAGCCATCAATAAATTATCTGCACTAACACATGTTCAGAAATTAATATGGCTACAAACCGGGATTTTGTTACTTAAAACTTATATCAAACTATTTTATGAACTTTGAACTTCTTTTTTTTTGGGTGCTTTTCTTCCCCTCTATAAGTATTGAAAAAGTTAAAAAAAAACCAAAATAGGCCTAAAAGAGAGTTAAAGAAGCAAGTGGTAACTGGAGTTCTCAAACAGCAAAAGGTCCTTAATCAAACATGAAAAGGAGCTCAAAATATGACTATTTACAGTTTGGGTCGGAGTCCAAAAATGGTTGCAAGCAAGGCTTAGATATAGAGCAAGATAGGAACAAAAAAGAGGGAAAAGAAGCTTACTCTTGAAGACCAATGGACCAACAGGTCTTGGTCTGAGAAATGGTGCTCCCAAGCTCTGAAAAATAGCTCCAAGTTGTTGGAATGGATGGTGGTGGGGTGTATACCAAAAATCGGGGCAAACGGAGGTGGTTAAGCGGTCCCGAACCGAGGCACACGGCCGTCGGTTCCGAAAAATAGAAAACCGGGCTCCAAACGGGAAAAATGGCCTACGACCACGAAACGTAGCCTAAGGCCACTGAGAGATGATCTACGAGACCTCTCCCTCCCTTCGGGAAGAGAAAACAGAGAAAACGGAGCCTGGTTCGCAAACCGAGGCAAGACACGAAAGAGCCCGGAAGTCCGGAGGCAAGGCTCGCAGCCAAGACTCTGAAACTTCTGAACGAGTACAATATGCACCATCACCAAGCGCTCAATCGGTAACGTCTGAGTCTTCAGGTCGGTCAAAAATGGGGTGTCTACAGTAGTACTAAATTATTTATATATATTTGCTTATATAGTTATGAGTTATTTGCATATTTTCTTAATGAGATTTTAATTTTTTCTTTTCTTCCTCTCTATTTATATGTTTTCATTCTAATGTGTATGTTTTTAAAATATGTATACTAAAAAAATCTATATTCAAAAGGGTCTATTGAGAAAATTTAGTTTTAAAGTTGGTGGGTGTATCGATCTCTATATTAGTCATTTTGTTTAATAGTAAAATTTTTAAAAAAAAATAATTTATTAAATATGTGCACAAAGATAAATGATGTTTACAAGTAAAATTATTCATTTTTTAAAATCACGTTAGAGAGAGAAAAAAAAAATCCTAGAATCCAATTTGACTGATATCTAATAACGGTGATTGAGATGGGGTCCTCAATTTATTGATCTCAATATCATGTCATTGCTATTGGTTGTTTCATTCTATTTATTATAATAAGTACCCTTAATTAAATATTTCAATATCATTGATTGGAAATTTTTGCAATCATCATTAATAAATCTAAAGAGAAATACAAGAAAAAGAAATTTTGTAATTGGTATTCAATAGTCGTTTTCAAAAATTAACTTCTTTCTCAGTCTGTTCAACTTTGTAACTATAGTTTTGTTTTTGTTGTTGTTTTTGTTTTTTATTTTTTTTGTCATAGGGAGAACAACATCAACAATAATAGGTTCGGTTTGAGAAAGAAAAGAGAGATTAAAATTGAACTTAGGTCACAGGTTTAATTTCCTCATCCCTGGGCCAATCTCTTAGGCGAAGCACAGTTGGTTAGGAGGTTGGACCTCAAGTTGTCTAATCAGCACTTGGTGTGAGTTCAATGCTCCCCCACTGTGCAAGTCTTGATTTAAGCGGAGCTTGTCTTGGGAGGTTGGGGCAAGTTATCAGGTTATAGTCTCCTCGCTCGGAACGGCTAACAGGACACCCTGGTGATCTCTGCAAGGGGCGCTGCCTTGGACCTGCAGGAGGGTCGGAAGGATTTTAATAACAAAAAAAAAAAAAAAAAAAAAATTGAACTTAGATATCATGGCCATAAAGGCTGCCACATACCAGACTTAATTTAGCAATTCCAAAGAGAAAATGAAGAAACTATCAGCTGATAGCTAATAATAGGATATATACAACATGTGTTTAAATCTAAAATCAATGGCTACTGAGACCTAGGTAAAACATGTGAATAATGATACATGTATCAATCGATATATTAGTTAGTGTATTAATAGATAAGGTAACATAATTTTAGAGATTTTTAATTTTTGTAATTTGTATAATAGGTAGAGTCATAATCTTTAAATGATAATGTCATAACTATATTGTTAATGTATTAATTAATATATGTAACACTATCTAAAATATATATGTAGAGACGGAACTGTATGTAGACCTACAGCGTCCTGCCCCTTGTGCTAGTAGTTTGATTCTCAATTATTCTGAGCTAACTTTTCTTTTATTTTATTATTATTATTATTATTATTATTATTTAAATAATCAGTTGAATTTGAATTTGAATTCTAGAGTTTCCTCTACAATAGCTTCCACGTATATATAAGAACAAACTTACTTAACTAGAATTAAGGACAAAAGTATTAAATTTGTAATATATTTCTGAAAAGGCATATTGTTCCTTTTTTCTGGTGCTTGTTTTTAAACTTGAAAAACATTTTATTGCTATGTAAATAGACATAAATTGGGCAATCCTTGTGTGTTCCAACTATCAATACATATAGAATAATTTGCACAATTTTCATTACAGAGTACTCTGTTATTGGCCTGCCTGCATTTTCACATTTTTACATATATATTTATATATATGAAAGTGAATGTAACATGTAAATAAGGTGAGTCATCAATGCACATGACAATGATAATACCATGACATCAAATCTGTGATGGTTTTGTTTTAAGTGGAGGGTGAGGGTGAAGGTGGTGGAGCCAAACATTCTTGTGGGTTGGACCAGAAGTAGTCCTCATCCTTTGGTTTTCCAGGAATCACAACTCTATCCGCCGGGTTCCCCCACCTGTTTGCATGAGCTTCCTTCATCACAGCTGAAAACTTTTCCCACTTTAATTTTCCTTTGTTGTACTTGTCTGTCAGATTCACCACAATCTTTCTGTTTGGATACAATTGTTTTCTTGAATCCCAGGAACCTGACAATTTAATACAATACATTACACAACACCATATTAGATGGAACAAGTAGATCTTTTTCCACCAAAATTCGTAAAAAAAAATTTATACCAGAAATGATGTGACAGTTTTATTTTGGTAATTAAAGACATCTCAATGGCTTCTTTGTTTTAAAATGATAGGATCAAAATCCAGTCAAATCATTCTGTATAGATTTTCTGTTTGTATATCACAGAATGGTAAGGCAATATTGCTGACCTTTTAAAGAGAAGGAGGCGAGGGGTCTATGTGCAAGCCATGGTGTTGAACAAGCCTTCATTATTATTATTATTATTATTTGTTGTCGTAAATAAATTGTGGCAACATCCATTGCTCTACACCATACAAGCAATGTCCTCTTCACTACAATGAATTATATTATGGCTTGTAACCTTACATGTTCCATGTATGTTCAAATTACAATAACATGCATGTACACAATTAAATGTATTTCGATTTCTTCAAAATACCTAAAAAAGTTGCGTTGTGAGAAAAATTATTCACAAGTTTACTCAAAATTGAAATTTGTAGACAAAATTTATTTTAAATATGACCCACCACAACCTATTAACTTTAAATTACATCCTACACTTCATTTTATAGATAAAATTCTGGTTAAGCTTCCATGCTAATTACAATCAATAAGATTAAGCCTCTGTTTGGCAAGATGGTTTTCAGGCTTTTTTGGCTATTTTAGCCACAAAAAACAAAATAGGCTATTTTAGCCATAACAAACAAAACATCACATCCAACCTATAATCATTACATTCTTCTCTCACAAAAAAAGTCAAAAAAGCCAAAAAGCCAAAAAGCCCTTCCCAAACCAAGCTTTTTAGCCCAGGCTAAAATAGCCAAAAAAACCAAAAAGTCAAAAAGCCAACCTACTTCCCAAACCAAGCCTAAGGAGCCTCCCTAATTTATTTGAAAATTTATCAATTACGCACATGGCAACCCACCTCAAAGTGTAGGCTTTTAACGAAAAATAGTGTTTCAATTAATTAGGCTATCAATTTGTTATTAGGGTGAATTACGCTAATAGTTCATGTAGTTTAGGGTTCATATCACTTTGGTTCCTGACTTTTTAATTGTAACACATTTGACTATTAATTTTGAATCTTGTTTCAAATAAAAACAATTGAATATATCATTGCTCAATTTCAAGGGCAAAGTTAACAATTTGATAAAATATAAACTAATTTAACAAAAATAAATGTCAAAAAAATATTTTTGAATATTTTTGAATTTTTAAAAATAATTTCTACCCACCAAAGATAAAATTATGTAAAATTGATCAATCTTTTAGACATTTATTTATTTATTTATTTTATCAAATTAATTTTTATTATATGTTTAGATGATGATCATGTAATGGGTGGTTATTAGACTTTTAATATGTAATCAATATATTTAGGTGTTGTTTGGGATGACCTAAATAAGTGTACTTTTTGTCTTTTAACGAAAAGATGTGCAGAAAAATAGAGAAATGATGTGATGAAAAAAAGATAAAAAGATAAAAAGTGTGTACTTATTTTGGGTTGCCAAACTTGACCTTAATATTCCTAAGTTTCCATAAGGACCAAAGGGGTGAATTACAATGTGCATGATATTGTCGCAAATTTGAAGCAGGTGAGAGGTTGCATCTCGTAGGCTGTGCTTGGTCTGTCATTATGCAGAGTGGTAGCAGTGTGGGAAGTAGCAGATTTGCTTCTAGAAGTCTGGTCTGCAGCTATCTCTCTGGTTCCAGTGAAGCTCCTGTACGTGAAGCTTATGTTATGATGCAGAATGCTAGCAGATGGACTTGGAGCAGATTGGCATGTATGCAGCTTGATTGCAGAGTGGTAGGTACCAGCTTCGGGTCTGTCATGGCAGTGCAGAGGCCTGCGTGGTTCTGGTCTGGGCAGCAGTGCACTTGCCCTCATTTTGCGCCCTCATTCTGGAGCCCTCATGCTGACTTTCCTGCCTCACTGATGGTCTGAATCTTGTTACTGTGGGGTATGTTTGCTTTGCTGATGCTAAACAACCACTGTGTGTGGTCTGCTGCTGGATGCTCCAGCAGAGGGAAAGATGGTTAGCTTCATTGGCCGGTTGTATTTCTTTTCTGTTGGCTTTGGTCTGTTCTGATTTTGGTTGTTTTGTGGGTTGGGTTTGGTGATTGTGGTTGGTTACTCACCAACTCACCAGCTTTCCCCTACCCCTTCCCCCTCCCCTTCTCCCTTATTGATGTATTCCCTTACTCGGTTTTCATCAATAAAGATCCTTTTCTTCGCTCAAGAGAGATGATCTACGAGACCTCTCCCTCCCTTCGAGAAGAGAAAACAGAGAAAACGGAGCCTGGTTCGCAAACCGAGGCAAGACACGAAAGAGCCCGGAAGTCCGGAGGCAAGGCTCGCAGCCAAGACTCTGAAACTTCTGAACGAGTACAATATGCACCATCACCAAGCGCTCAATCGGTAACGTCTGAGTCTTCAGGTCGGTCAAAAATGGGGTGTCTACAGTAGTACTAAATTATTTATATATATTTGCTTATATAGTTATGAATTATTTGCATATTTTCTTAATGAGATTTTAATTTTTTCTTTTCTTCCTCTCTATTTATATATTTTCAATCTAATGTGTATGTTTTTAAAATATGTATACTAAAAAAATCTATATTCAAAAGGGTCTATTGAGAAAATTTAGTTTTAAAGTTGGTGGGTGTATCGATCTCTATATTAGTCATTTTGTTTAATAGTAAAATTTTAAAAAAAAATTAATTTATTAAATATGTGCACAAAGATAAATGATGTTTACAAGTAAAATTATTCATTTTTTAAAATCACGTTAGAGAGAGAAAAAAAAAATCCTAGAATCCAATTTGACTGATATCTAATAACGGTGATTGAGATGGGGTCCTCAATTTATTGATCTCAATATCATGTCATTGCTATTGGTTGTTTCATTCTATTTATTATAATAAGTACCCTTAATTTAATATTTCAATATCATTGATTGGAGAATTTTTGCAATCATCATTAATAAATCTAAAGAGAAATACAAGAAAAAGAAATTTTGTAATTGGTATTCAATAGTCGTTTTCAAAAATTAACTTCTTTCTCAGTCTGTTCAACTTTGTAACTATAGTTTTGTTTTTGTTGTTGTTTTTGTTTTTTTTTTGTCATAGGGAGAACAACATCAACAATAATAGGTTCGGTTTGAGAAAGAAAAGAGAGATTAAAATTGAACTTAGGTCACAGGTTTAATTTCCTCATTCTTGGGCCAATCTCTTAGGTGAAGCACAGTTGGTTATGAGGTTGGACCTCAAGTTGTCTAATCAGCACTTGGTGTGGGTTCAATGCTCCCCCGTTGTGCAAGTCCTAACTTAAGCGGAGCTTGTCTTGGGAGGTTGGGGCAAGTTATCAGGTTATAATCTCCTCGCTCGGAACGGCTAACAGGACACCCTGGTGATCTCTGCAAGGGGCGTTGCCTTAGACCTGCAGGAAAGTAGGAAGGATTTTCCAATAACAAAAAAAAAAAAAAAAAAAATTGAACTTAGATATCATGCCCATAAAGACTGCCACATACCAGACTTAATTTAGCAATTCCAAAGAGAAAATGAAGAAACTATCAGCTGATAGCTAATAATAGGATATATACAACGTGTGTTTAAAGCTAAAATCAATGGCTACTGAGACCTAGATAAAACATATGAATAATGATATATGTACCAATCGATATATTAGTTAGTGTACTAATAGATAAGGTGACATAATTTTAGAGATTTTTTATTTTTGTAATTTGTATAATAAGTAGAGTCATAATTTTTAAATGACAATGTCATAACTACAGTGTTGGTATATTAATTGATACATGTAACACTATCTAAAATATATATGTAGAGACGGAACTGTATGTAGACCTACAGCGTCCTACCCCTTGTGCTAGTAGTTTGATTCTCAATTATTCTGAACTAACTTTTCTTTTATTTTATTATTATTATTTTTTAAATAATCAGTTGAATTTGAATTTGAATTCTAGAGTTTCCTCTACAATAGCTTTCACGTATATATAAGAACAAACTTACTTAACTAGAATTAAGGACAAAAGTATTAAATTTGTAATATATTTCTGAAAAGGCATATTGTTCCTTTTTTCTGGTGCTTGTTTTTAAACTTGAAAAACATTTTATTGCTATGTAAATAGACATAAATTGGGCAATCCTTGTGTGTTCCAACTATCAATACATACAGAATAATTTGCACAATTTTCATTACAGGGTACTCTGTTATTGGCCTGCCTGCATTTTTACATTTTTACATATATATTTATATATATGAAAGTGAATGTAACATGTAAATAAGGTGAGTCATCAATACACATGACAATGATAATACCATGACATCAAATCTGTGAGGGTTTTGTTTTAAGTGGAGGGTGAGGGTGAAGGTGGAGCTAAGCATTCTTGTGGGTTGGACCAGAAGTAGTCCTCATCCTTTGGTTTTCCAGGAATCACAACTCTATCCGCCGGCTTCCCCCACCTGTTTGCATGAGCTTCCTTCATCACAGCTGAAAACTTTTCCCACTTTAATTTTCCTTTGTTGTACTTGTCTGTCAGATTCACCACAATCTTTCTGTTTGGATCTAATGTTTTCTTGAATCCCAGGAACCTGACAATTTAATACAATACATTACACAACACCATATTAGATGGAACAAATAGATCTTTTTCCACCAAAATTCGTAAACAAAATTTTATACCAGAAATGATGTGACAGTTTTATTTTGGTAATTAAAGACATCTCAATGGCTTCTTTGTTTTAAAATTATAGGATCAAAATCCAGTCAAATCATTCCGTATAAATTTTCTGTTTGTATATCACTGCTCGTTACAAATACTCCACACGCAGGTATATAACTATAATTGGTCAGGCTTCTATATCTGTGTGTCAAGTGCATTGAACCTGAGAGGCCTGGGGAGAGAAGCCATTTTCTTATTAATAAATTGAAGCATTTCATTTCACTGTAGTAGATACCTTCTATGGCCTTCAACAACTTTTGCCATGTTGCCTCCATATGTTGCGACAAATATATCACTCTCAACCGAAACAATATAATCCAATGCTGCCATTTGAGATGAATGGTTCTGGAAGGGAAATAGCTCTGAGGGTTTAAGTAATGTTTCCTTCTTCACCTGTTTCGCACATCACATAAACTCAAACAAATTTTAATGTCAAAAACTCTCCAACCCTATTAAAAGTCAGATAGATTGTACACAGCTGGTAGCTGTTCTTGAGGCTTGAACTCAAACTTACTAACCAAATTTGGAAAAGCTGCTGCTAGACTCGCCAACCTTGTCTTTCCTCCATATATATCTCCAGCAGCAATATAAATCTGGATGTTTCGATCAATGTCCAGTGCTCGCAATGTCAAAGCCGCTTCCTCCGGAGTCATAGGGCACAGCCCTGCTTTTCTTTTCTTCGTAGAGTTTATAACCTTGTCTTTCCACCATGGATAAGCATACCTGTTAATATTAATATTAAAGAGATGTATACATATTTGTTGCAGATCTACCAATTCCTACCCCCCCCCCCCCCCCTCCCCAAAACAAACAAAAAAAAAAAAAAAAGAAATATTCACAGTTGATTGCAATTGATTATTTTAAACAATTCATGACTGCATCATCCGATTCCTGATAAGTATTGTTTGATACTTCTAATATTATTAAACTATAATTGATATTAATTTGTCTCTCGATACTGCTCAAACAAAATATATATATATATATATATATTATTAGAGCTCGGGTACTAACCGTGTTACTATAATAGGACATGTTAGACCAGCTAATTGGTGGCATGGAGTAAAATGTGCCCATCTCCACTATTTTCTTCAGATTTGGAGGCAGCTCTCTCTGTATCTTAACCTTGTCTCTTAAGGACGTGATGAAGTAATCCACGTCGAATATATCCTTGAACTCACTTCCATATCAAGTAAACTACGTGAATGAATCGTTGAGATAAAAATAAAAAGGAAAGCTGGACTAACTCACGAATTGAACCACTCGGAAATTATTTCAAATATCAAACAATATTCGATATAATCTAGTTTTACCTGTAATCATTCCAAAAGGAGGTTTTGTCAAGTTTTAGTTTTGGTTTATAATAATTAATTTAATTAGCATAGCTGGTTAGCTTGTTATTCGGACCCTCCGTCGAGAGGGAAAATGCTGCAATAAGTGTGCGTGTGTGTGTGAATGTCTTCCAACCCCACGTCTTTCTCCCTTTTATTTACCTGCTTTCGATGGTTAGTTTTAGGGCATATTTCAATTAGCATCCTTATGCTTGCATGCATGCATCATTCATTTGTCTTGCATGCACCGGACTCGGCACATCATTCAAACTGTATTGTATTTCAATATACTTACTTGAATACGTGTTTCAAAGCATGTTATCGAGTGTTGCGTTCATATGCCATCTTAGAATAGTCGAGCCTTTTAGCTGCATTTTTGCATGTGTTGCATTAGGCATTTCAAACATAGCTAGGATCATGCATTGATTTCTAACATAACTTCTGTTTTGGCTCGGAGTACACTGTGAGTGTTTACGCTTTAGCATCCTTGCATGTGTGTAAGTGACTGCCATGATAGCATGCTTGCCATGAGGCTAACTGCTTAAGTGTTTAACTGCATGAATGCCTGTGGATGAAGGCTTTATTACTTGAATTGGAACAATTCATCAAATGTGAGTTTTAAGCCCACTTGAGGTGGCAAAATCATGTTGTTTTAAGCCCACTTGAGGGTGACAAATCCGCGCTTTAGCCTACTTGACCTCTTTATACTGGTATTACTCACTGGGTTTTAGTTCACTCATTCCCCTATATATATGTAGGTGAGCAAGTGGAGCGCTAAGTTTAGCAGAGCCTTAGAAGTCCACTTTTTTGTGAAGCTGCTTTGAAGTACCTCCGTGATGGGGCATGCTTGGACTCAAGAGGACTTGAGCTATGTCAACCCTTTTGTTAAATTTTATTTTTCTTAGTTTTCTTTTGTTATTTGAAAACTTGTTATGTATGGATTTTTTGTATAAGAGTCTAAGATGTTGCGATGTATCTATGTACTTATATCTTTGTAAAGAGGTTGAAGTTTTTAATATCATAGAATTTGCATATATGCATCACTCAATGGACATAGTTATGTTTTTGTAATACTTTTATAGTGCCCCGTTTACTATTATTAATTATTTGTTTTGTCTTTGAGGCTAGGTAATCTGGGATTACTAGCCGTTCACGGCCTAAACCTCTAGAGGCTGGTTTGGGTCGTCATAGTTTGGTATCAGAGCACGAGTTATAACTTACTCACTTGTCCATTGAGCAATAAGGTGTCCAAAAAACACTTCAGCATTGCATTCATATGCATTTGAATATCAGAATGAGATAATTTTTGTAAATGTGTACATGTATATGGTGTATACAATGTGTTTGTTGTAATACAAGTTTCATATAGATAATGGTAAGAACAAGAGGGGATGAATTGGAGGAATCCACCTCCAACCGACTTTATTGGGTGGAAAGAATGACGCATGATATGGCTGAAAGCCTAAGACAACAACAACAATGGAAGCAACAACAACCGCCACCCCCACCTCCAATGCCCGTACCATCGGTATTGGACCACCAAACAAATGACCAAACCATTGTCCTCACCAAAGAATTCAAAAAGATGAAGCCACCCTTGTTTCATGGGGGAGTTGATCCACTAAAGGCTGAGGCCTGGGTGTTGGGGATCGAAAAGCTGTTTGAGGCGTTTCCATGTATAGAGGCACAAAAGGTTTTATTGGCCGCATTCACGTTAGAAGATGAAGTAAGAAGACAGTGGATGTTAGTACAAGATGCTAACAAGGGAATTGGTTAGGCTTAGTTTTTAGAGATTTTCTACGAGAAATACTTCTCGCAGTGTGTTCGGGAAAGGAAAGTATCAAAATTTAAGCAATTAAAGCAAGGAAATAAGACAGTGGCAGAGTATGAAGCCCAATTTACTGAACTAGCACAGTTTGCACCGCATATGGTTGATACAGACAACAAAAAGGCTAGAAAATTTGAAGGAGGTCTTCACGACTCAGTTCTTGAAAGAATTAATTTGTTGAAACTACCTGAGTATATTGATGTTTTAGACGGGGCTCTCATGTCAGAGGCAAACATGGCCGCTCGTAATTGGAATTTTGAATAGAAGGATAAAATGTAGAATGTGAATGTGAACAAAGGGCCAACCTTAATAATGACTAAGAAAGCAAAGTTAGAAAACTCAAGTAGTTCAAATTAGAGTGGTAATTTAGCACCGATTTGTCCAGATTGTGGGAGAAAGCACCGAGGTGTATGTTATCGGACTACGGGGGCTTATTTTTTGTATGGAAAGATGGGACACATATCGAAGGAATGTCTATAATCACGACAACGTGATAACCAGGGTGCTACAAGCTCAACTAGATCGACACTGAATGTGAAGGCCAATGCAACTTTGACTATAATGAGGGACAATTAGAGACAAAGAAGGGTTTTTGCACTTCTTCCAGGGGACACGCAAAATGCAGAAACTGTAGTTGCAGGTACACTCTTTATTTGTGGGCAGTATGCATATGTCTTGAGTGATTTAGGGTTTACACATTCACTTGTTTCTATGTTATTTGCTTATAAATTGAATAGACCTTTGGAAACCTTGAAATATACACTACATGTGTCATCACCGTCGAGAGGATCTATGATATACTCATCTATTTACCCTGTATGTGAAATTTTACTTAAGAATGTCGTTTTGTATGTTGATTTATTGCCCTTAGATATGACTCATTTTGACATTTTTTGGGGATGGACTGGCTATCTAAATATTATGTGACCATAGATTGTGCCTCAAAATGAGTAATATTCCAACCTCCAGGACAGAGTGAGTTTTATTTTGAGGAAAAAGGTGTAGTTCCCCCACCCTACTTAATATATGCAATAAAGGCTCATAAACTGATTATATGGGGTGTTAGGGGTATTTGTGTAGTATATTGCATGTTCAAACTGCAAATGTTGTCTTAGATGATATACCGATTGTAAAAGATTTTTTTGATGTATTTTCGGAAGAGTTGCATGGGCAATTGGTTTGATAGAGAAATTGAATTTGTGATTAATGTGATACTGGGTACTCAATCCATATCCAAAACTCTATATCGTATGTCAACTGCTGAAAAAAAAAATAAAAAATAAAAAATAAAAAAATCGAAAGTGCAGTTGTAGGAATTGCCTACACTACAACAAATAAAAGTTTTAAAAATTAAATTTTTCTCCAAAAATATTTTTAAAAAAAATTATAAAAAATATTTGAAGATCAATTTTTGTTATTGCAAGAATAGTTGTTAAAAGTCATTCCGAAAAGTAAAGAAAAAAATGGCTTTTTGTAAAAAAAATTTGAAAACATCATTAATAAATGCACTTTTAAAGAAAAAATAATTTGATTCCGAAACATTTATTGTTTGAAACAAAAACATTGGTCAAAAATAATAGTAATTCATCATTAAATATTTAATTTCATCACTAAAAATATAATAATGACACCTATAATAAAAATATTTTATCTCTAAAAATTAATTCAGTCTCTAAAATATTATTATTATTATTTTTTATTTTTATTTTTTTGAACGGAGTCTCTAAAATATTAATTTGTTGTTTATATTCTCATCAAATTAGTTAAGCGGGTCTTATTGCTTAGGATCATCAGATTCATATGCAAATGTAATGATATAGTACTCTTCAACGAGTTAATAATTTTACCGTGACCTTACGCATTGCTTGAAGGAGATTTTCTAAGTAAAATTTGTATCCATTTATTCTTCCTACATATTATTTTTTAAGTGTTCACACTTACAAATTTATTTATCTTTAATTTTACTAATTCCACACATCAAGGCCATGTTTGTTTGGGTGGACATGAGCTTGGAATTGGACTAATAATTCAATAAAATTATTAATCCGATATTTGGTTAAACAATGGATTCATTATTTTAAACTTGACTATTAGTTAAGATAGGATACATAATCCAACGGATTTGTAATCTTAAGACTATTAGTCATGGGAATGCTAATCCAGTCCGCCCAAACAAACATGGCCCAAATGTTTTAAATATACCTGTAAGGCATAATGTGCGTACACATCAATACAAAAATTCAACACATTATATACACAAACCACAAAAAATATAAATCCGCACCATACCCCTAAACATAAACCTAAATTGTGCTATACATTCACGGTATTTTTCAAAACTCCGCAATACTCAAGCGATTGAAACACAACAAAGAAGCATCTAAAGCAAATCATTCTCCGATATTTTCTGAGAAGTATGATTTTCAAAAATCAACAACTTTTAATTATTATTTTACTATTATTCTACAAAAATTAGGGTACTATTTTACTATTTTTGTTATTTGTTTGTATTGGCTTGGGAAAAGAATAAAAACCATTAGTACTGGTTATTCGAACAAATTTTAAAAATTCAGCAATCAACAATTAAATAAAATTATAATTTTCGGTTCTATATTTCTATATAAAATTTAAATTTTTGTCATATAACAAAAGAAAAATGTCCGGTTCTGTACTTCTGAATTAAATATATATTTTTAATCTGTAGTACTAAACCATTTATATATATTTGCTTATATAGTTATGAATTATTTGCATATTTTCTGAATGAGATTTTAATTTTTTCTTTTCTTCCTCTCTATTTATATATTTTCAATCTAATGTGTATGTTTTTAAAATATGTATACTAAAAAAATCTATATTCAAAAGGGTCTATTGAGAAAATTTAGTTTTAAAGTTGGTGGGTGTATCGATCTCTATATTAGTCATTTTGTTTAATAGTAAAATTTAAAAAAAATTAATTTATTAAATATGTGCACAAAGATAAATGATGTTTACAAGTAAAATTATTCATTTTTTAAAATCACGTTAGAGAGAGAAAAAAAAAATATATCCTAGAATCCAATTTGACTGATATCTAAAACGGTGATTGAGATGGGGTCCTCAATTTATTGATCTCAATATCATGTCATTGCTATTGGTTGTTTCATTCTATTTATTATAATAAGTACCCTCAATTTAATATTTCAATATCATTGATTGGAAAATTTTTGCAATCATCATTAATAAATCTAAAGAGAAATACAAGAAAAAGAAATTTTGTAATTGGTATTCAATAGTCGTTTTCAAAAATTAACTTCTTTCTCAGTCTGTTCAACTTTGTAACTATAGTTTTGTTTTTGTTGTCGTTGTTGTTTTTTTTTTGTCATAGGGGGAACAACATCAACAATAATAGGTTCGGTTTGAGAAAGAAAAGAGAGATTAAAATTGAACTTAGGTCACAGGTTTAATTTCCTCTTCCCTGGGCCAATCTCTTAAGCGAAGCACAGTTGGTTATGAGGTTGGACCTCAAGTTGTCTAATCAGCACTTGGTGTGGGTTCAATGCTCCCCGTTGTGCGAGTCCTAACTTAAGCGGAGCTTGTCTTGGGAGGTTGGGGCAAGTTATCAGGTTATAGTCTCCTCGCTCGGAACGGCTAACATGACACCCTGGTGATCTCTGCAAGGGGCGTTGCCTTAGACCTGCAGGAAAGTAGGAAGGATTTTCCAATAACAAAAAAAACAGGAAAGTAGGAAGGATTTTCCAAAAAAAAAAAAAAAAAAAAAAAAAATTGAACTTAGATATCATGCCCATAAAGACTGCCACATACCAGACTTAATTTAGCAATTCCAAAGAGAAAATGAAGAAACTATCAGCTGATAGCTAATAATAGGATATATACAACGTGTGTTTAAAGCTAAAATCAATGGCTATTGAGACCTAGATAAAACATATGAATAATGATATATGTACCAATCGATATATTAGTTAGTGTACTAATAGATAAGGTGACATAATCTTAGAGATTTTTTATTTTTGTAATTTATATAATAAGTAGAGTCATAGTTTTTAAATAACAATGTCATAACTACATTAAACTTAGATATCATGCCCATAAAGACTGCCACATACCAGACTTAATTTAGCAATTCCAAAGAGAAAATGAAGAAACTATCAGCTGATAGCTAATAATAGGATATATACAACGTGTGTTTAAAGCTAAAATCAATGGCTACTGAGACCTAGATAAAACATATGAATAATGATATATGTACCAATCGATATATTAGTTAGGTCAAGTTTGGCTATTCTAAATAAGTACACACTTTTTATATTTTTATCTTTTTTCTATCACACTATCTCTCTACTTTTCTGCGCATCTTTTCGTAAAAAGACAAAAAGTGCACTTATTTAGGTCATCCCAAACAACTCCTTAGTGTACTAATAGATAAGGTGACATAATCTTAGAGATTTTTTATTTTTGTAATTTGTATAATAAGTAGAGTCATAGTTTTTAAATGACAATGTCATAACTACATTGTTGGTATATTAATTGATACATGTAACACTATCTAAAATATATATGTAGAGACGGAACTGTATGTAGACGTACAGCGTCCTACCCCTTGTGCTAGTAGTTTGATTCTCAATTATTCTGAGCTAACTTTTCTTTTATTTTATTATTATTATTATTATTATTATTATTTAAATAATCAGTTGAATTTGAATTTGAATTCTAGAGTTTCCTCTACAATAGCTTCCACGTATATATAAGAACAAACTTACTTAACTAGAATTAAGGACAAAAGTATTAAATTTGTAATATATTTCTGAAAAGGCATATTGTTCCTTTTTTCTGGTGCTTGTTTTTAAACTTGAAAAACATTTTATTGCTATGTAAATAGACATAAATTGGGCAATCCTTGTGTGTTCCAACTATCAATACATACAGAATAATTTGCACAATTTTCATTACAGGGTACTCTGTTATTGGCCTGCCTGCATTTTCACATTTTTACATATATATTTATATATATGAAAGTGAATGTAACATGTAAATAAGGTGAGTCATCAATGCACATGACAATGATAATACCATGACATCAAATCTGTGATGGTTTTGTTTTAAGTGGAGGGTGAGGGTGAAGGTGGAGCTAAGCATTCTTGTGGGTTGGACCAGAAGTAGTCCTCATCCTTTGGTTTTCCAGGAATCACAACTCTATCCGCCGGCTTCCCCCACCTGTTTGCATGAGCTTCCTTCATCACAGCTGAAAACTTTTCCCACTTTAATTTTCCTTTGTTGTACTTGTCTGTCAGATTCACCACAATCTTTCTGTTTGGATCCAATGTTTTCTTGAATCCCAGGAACCTGACAATTTAATACAATACATTACACAACACCATATTAGATGGAACAAGTAGATCTTTTTCCACCAAAATTCGTAAACAAAATTTTATACCAGAAATGATGTGACAGTTTTATTTTGGTAATTAAAGACATCTCAATGGCTTCTTTGTTTTAAAATGATAGGATCAAAATCCAGTCAAATCATTCTGTATAGATTTTCTGTTTGTATATCACTGCTCGTTACAAATACTCCACACGCAGGTATATAACTATAATTGGTCAGGCTTCTATATCTGTGTGTCAAGTGCATTGAACCTGAGAGGCCTGGGGAGAGAAGCCATTTTCTTATTAATAAATTGAAGCATTTCATTTCACTGTAGTAGATACCTTCTATGGCCTTCAACAACTTTTGCCATGTTGCCTCCATATGTTGCGACAAATATATCACTCTCAACCGAAACAATATAATCCAATGCTGCCATTTGAGATGAATGGTTCTGGAAGGGCAATAGCTCTGAGGGTTTAAGTAATGTTTCCTTCTTCACCTGTTTCGCACATCACATAAACTCAAACAAATTTTAATGTCAAAAACTCTCCAACCCTATTAAAAGTCAGATAGATTGTACACAGCTGGTAGCTGTTCTTGAATTTGAGAAAGAATCTACACAATAACAAATAGTTATTTGTCATAATAATAGGACTCTATACACATGCTCACACCGGCAAAACTCATGCTCAAACCATGGTACTAAATATCAGTCAAAACATGTCATCAAAGTTTTTTACCTCTTGCTACTAAATATCAATAGAAATATTCACAGTTGATTGCAATTGATTATTTTAAACAATTCATGACTGCATCATCCGATTCCTGATAAGTATTGTTTGATACTTCTAATATTATTACACTACAATTGATATTAATTTGTCTCTCGATACTGCTCAAACAAAATATATATATATATATATATATATATTATTAGAGCTCGGGTACTAACCGTGTTACTATAATAGGACATGTTAGACCAGCTAACACTATAATAGGAGTAAAATGTGCCCATCTCCACTATTTTCTTCAGATTTGGAGGCAGCTCTCTCTGTATCTTAACCTTGTCTCTTAAGGACGTGATGAAATAATCCACGTCGAATATATCCTTGAACTCACTTCCATATCAAGTAAACTACGTGAATGAATTGTTGAGATAAAAATAAAAAGGAAAGCTGGACTAACTCATGAATTAAACCACTCGGATATTATTTCAAATATCAAACAATATTCGATATAATCTAGTTTTACCTGTAATCATTCCAAAAGGAGGTTTTGTCAAGTTCAGGAACTATTAGTGTGACATTTATGTAGCTTGCAATAGCAACCATGTCACAAATCTGTACCAATATGAGGTTTAATTAAGCAAATACATATATGCAACAACAACAACAATGTACAAGATAGCAGGGTAGAGCACCCATATGCTATATTGGAGAGAGAGAGAGAGAGAGAGAGAGAGAGTTGTCACTCACTCCGGCTCGCATTTGGTTCAGTCCTCCATTGCTTGAAACCATCAGATATCCATTACTCTTGTAAAGCCCTGAAGGCAATGATAACGTTTAATCAAGGTGCCAAACTTACATATACGCAAGTAAATTATACAAACAACAAAAATTATACTAATAATGGTATATGTAGAGAGTTATGACTTGCAGATGGAATAGAAGAAGAAGAAGACCAGTGCTGCACCACCCTGAGCCACCTTGTCTGATTCAGTGCTGCTAGCTGCACTGCACAACCCCAAATCAAAACTACCGTCGTTACCCAAATGGCCCACATCTTTATTTGAGCCATTAATCGCGCTCGAGCAGCCATAGAATATTTCAACTTCTCAATTTTGATCTTTCCCAAGTATCTCAAACCCATCTTGTCAAATTCTTTCTCGTTTAACGCCTCATCCGTCTCATAAACCTTGCACCCAGCCATCAATAGATTATCTGTACTAACACATGTTCAAAAATTTTAATATGGCTACAAACCGGGATTTTGTTACTTAAAACTTAAACTATTTTATGAACTTTGAACTTTTTTTTTTTGGGCGCTTTTCTTCTCCTCTATAAGTATTGAAAAAGTTAAAAAAAAACCTTAATTGAAGGAAAGGAAATGCAGAGGAAAGAGTTGTGGTGTTTTTGAAGAGACGAGAAACGTGAATAAGAGAAGAGGTTTTCCGGTAGCTACTGCCACCGGAAAGTTGGTGGTAGAGTTGGCTGATACAGATACAGAATGGTGAGGTAATATTGCTGACCTTTTAAAAAGAAGGAGGCGAGGGGTCTATGTGCAAGCCATGGTGTTGAACAAGCCTTCATTATTATTATTATTATTATTATTTGTTGTCGTAAATAAATTGTGGCAACATCCATTGCTCTACACCATACAAGTAATGTCCACTTCACTACAATGAATTATATTATGCCTTGTAACCTTGCATGTTCCACGTATGTTCAAATTACAATAACATGCATGCACACAATTAAATGTATTTCGATTTCTTCAAAATACCTCAGAAAGTTGCGTTAGTGAGAAAAATTATTCACAAGTTTACTCAAAATTGAACTTTGTAGACAAAATTTATTTTAAATATGACCCACCACAACCTATTAACTTTAAATTACATCCTACATTTTATAGATAAAATTCTGGTTAAGCTTCCATGCTAATTACAATCAATAAGATTAAGGAGCCTCCCTAATTTATTTGAAAATTTATCAATTACCCACATGGCAACCCACCTCAAAGTGTAGGCTTTTAACGAAAAATAGTGTTTCAATTAATTAGGCTATCAATTTGTTATTAGGGCGAATTATGCTAATAGTTCCTGTAGTTTAGGGTTCATATCACTTTGGTCCCTGACTTTTTAATTGTAACACATTTGACTATTAATTTTGAATCTTGTTTCAAATAAAAACAATTGAAGATATCATTGCTCAATTTCAAGGGCAAAGTTAACAATTTGATAAAATATAAACTAATTTAACAAAAATAAATGTCAAAAAAATATTTTTGAATTTTTAAAAATAATTTCTACCCACCAAAAATAAAATTATGTAAAATTGATCAATCTTTTAGATATTTATTTATTTATTTATTTTACCAAATTCATTTTTATTATATGTTTGGATGATGATCACGTAATGGGTGGTTATTAGACTTTTAATATGTAATCAATATATTTAGGGATTGTTTGGGATGACCTAAATAAGTGTGCTTTTTGTCTTTTAATGAAAAGATGTGCAGAAAAATAGAAAGATGATGTGATGGAAAAAAGATAAAAAGATAAAAAGTGTGTACTTATTTTGGGTTGCCAAACTTGACCTTAATATATGAAATATTTTAGTTTTGAATTTTTTGATTTAATGGATAGGTTTAATATACCTGAATAAAAACATCCTCCACATTGAGGTGGGCAGTTGGATTTTTGTGAGTTTCCCTAAACTAGTTGGAATTCAACTAGAATTATTGTCCACGTATTTCAATTATGGATAAAATTGTGAATAATTTTTTTTTGGGTATGTAACACAACTAACCTTTAACTATCTTTTGCAAATTTAAAAGAGTGGATCCTACACTACAATAAACAAAAGTTTTAGAAACTAAATTTTTCTCCAAAAGTATTTAAAAAAAAATTATAAAAAATATTTGAGGAACAATTTCTGTTATTGCAAGAATAGTTGTTAAAAGTCATTCCGAAAAGTAAAGAAAAAAATGGCTTTTTGTAAAAAAATTTGAAAACATCATTAATAAATGCACTTTTAAAGAAATAATAATTTGATTCCGAAACATTTATTGTTTGAAACAAAAATATTGGTCAAAAATAATAGTAATTCATCATTAGATATTTAATTTCATCACTAAAAATATAATAATGACACCTATAATAAAAATATTTTATCTCTAAAAATTAATTCAGTCTCTAAAATTTTTTTTTTATTTTTATTTTATTTTTTTGAACGGAGTCTCTAAAATATTAATTTGTTGTTTATATTCTCATCAAATTAGTTAAGCGGGTCTTATTGCTTAGGATCATCAGATTCATATGCAAATGTAATGATATAGTACTCTTCAACGAGTTAATAATTTTACCGTGACCTTACGCATTGCTTGAAGGAGATTTTCTAAGTAAAATTTGTATCCATTTATTCTTCCTACATATTATTTTTTTAGTGTTCACACTTACAAATTTATTTATCTTTAATCTTACTAATTCCACACACCAAATGTTTTAAATATACCTGTAAGACATAATATGTGTACACATCAGTACAAAAATTCAACACATTATATACACAAACCACAAAAAATATAAATCCGCACCATACCCCTAAAAATAAACCTAAATTGTGCTATACATACACGGTATTTTTCAAAACTCCGCAATACTCGAGCGATTGAAACACAACAAAGAAGCATCTAAAGCAAATCATTCTCCGATATTTTCTGAGATATATGATTTTCAAAAATCAACAACTTTTAATTATTATTTTACTATTTTTGTTATTTGTTTGTATTGGCATGGGAAGAGAATAAAAACCATTAGTACTGGTTATTCGAACAAATTTTAAAAATTCAGCAATCAACAATTAAATAAAATTATAATTTTCGGTTCTATATTTCTAAATAAAATTTAAATTTTTGTCATATAACAAAAGAAAAATGTCCGGTTCTGTACTTCTGAATTAAATATATATTTTTAATCTGTAGTACTAAACCATTTATATATATTTACTTATATAGTTATGAATTATTTGCATATTTTCTGAATGAGATTTTAATTTTTTCTTTTCTTCCTCTCTATTTATATATTTTCAATCTAATGTGTATGTTTTTAAAATATGTATACTAAAAAAATCTATATTCAAAAGGGTCTATTGAGAAAATTTAGTTTTAAAGTTGGTGGGTGTATCGATCTCTATATTAGTAATTTTGTTTAATAGTAAAATTTAAAAAAAAAATTAATTTATTAAATATGTGCACAAAGATAAATGATGTTTACAAGTAAAATTATTCATTTTTTAAAATCACGTTAGAGAGAGAGAGAAAAAAAAAATCCTAGAATCCAATTTGACTGATATCTAATAACGGTGATTGAGATGGGGTCCTCATTTTATTGATCTCAATATCATGTCATTGCTATTGGTTGTTTCATTCTATTTATTATAATAAGTACCCTTAATTTAATATTTCAATATCATTGATTGGAAAATTTTTGCAATCATCATTAATAAATCTAAAGAGAAATACAAGAAAAAAAATTTTGTAATTGGTATCCAATAGTCGTTTTCAAAAATTAACTTCTTTCTCAGTCTGTTCAACTTTGTAACTATAGTTTTGTTTTTGTTGTTGTTTTTGTTTTTTGTTTTTTTTGTCATAGGGAGAACAACATCAACAATAATAGGTTCGGTTTGAGAAAGAAAAGAGAGATTAAAATTGAACTTAGGTCACAGGTTTAATTTCCTCATCCCTGGGCCAATCTCTTAGGCGAAGGTTGGACCACAAGTTGTTTAATCAGCACTTGGTGTAGGTTCAATGCTCTCCCGCTGTGCAAGTCCTGACTTAAGCGGAGCTTGCCTTGGGAGGTTGGGGCAAGTTATCAGGTTATAGTCTCCTCGCTCGGAACGGCTAACAGGACACCCTGGTGATCTCTACAAGGGGCGTTGCCTTGGACCTGCAAGAGGGTAAGAAGGATTTTCCGATAACAAAAAAAAAAAAAAATTGAACTTAGATATCATGCCCATAAAGGCTGCCACATACCAGACTTAATTTAGCAATTCCAAAGAGAAAATGAAGAAACTATCAGCTGATAGCTAATAATAGGATATATACAACATGTGTTTAAAGCTAAAATCAATGGCTACTGAGACCTAGATAAAACATATGAATAATGATATATGTACCAATCGATATATTAGTTAGTGTACTAATAGATAAGGTGACATAATCTTAGAGATTTTTGTAATTTGTATAATAAGTAGAGTCAAAGTTTTTAAATGACAATGTCATAACTACATTGTTGGTATATTAATTGACACATGTAACACTATCTAAAATATATATGTAGAGACGGAACTGTATGTAGACCTACAGCGTCCTGCCCCTTGTACTAGTAGTTTGATTCTCAATTATTCTGAGCTAACTTTTCTTTTATTTTATTATTATTATTATTATTATTATTATTATTTTTTAAATAATCAGTTGAATTTGAATTTGAATTCTAGAGTTTCCTCTACAATAGCTTCCACGTATATTGTTTATAAGAACAAACTTACTTAAGTAGAATTAAGGACAAAAGTATTAAATTTGTAATATATTTCTGAAAAGGCATATTGTTCCTTTTTTCTGGTGCTTGTTTTTAAACTTGAAAAACATTTTATTGCTATGTAAATAGACATAAATTGGGCAATCCTTGTGTGTTCCAACTATCAATACATACAGAATAATTTGCACAATTTTCATTACAGGGTACTCTGTTATTGGCCTGCCTGCATTTTCACATTTTTACATATATATTTATATATATGAAAGTGAATGTAACATG